GGATCAATTTAATAGTATATAGTGTCAAATTTAATTATCATTTCAGTAAAAAATAACGATATATTTAGTAGGAGCAGTGGCGACTCACATTCAGTTAATTTGACCCTATAAAATTTAACAGTGTACGAACGCGAATTATGTGAGGGTACCCAAGTAATAAGGTTGCTAAAAACTAAAATGTGTACTAAAGCCTATAATGTGCTCTTTGTTTCCTGTTTCTTGCTTTTTACATCTTGCTTTTTCCCCCTTTGCAACCGTTTTATCGACAATTGTATTTCTTGCTACGTATATTTCCTGTTTCTTCCGAAGTTCGTTAACTTTTATCTCGGGCGACATAAAATAAAAAACCGGATAGGAAAAGCAAAAAGACAAAGTGTAAAAAATAACAAAAGCAGGAAACAGAAAACAAAAAGTACATTATAGAATAGACTCCTTTATAGTTAAGAAACAGATCAGATGAAATTATTTAAAACAATAAATTTTAATATTTCGTGTATATGCATAGGAACATTCTTTTCTGCAGGTATACTTGCGGTAATCACGTTTCGAGAATAAGCAAAGCAATAGCACAACGCGGAGCGGTCCGTACCCGTTCGAGTCTCGTCATGAAATGGTAATACGACGCGACGCGACGCGGTGCGCGGCCGGCACGGCGCGCGACGACCTTACGAACTTCAAATAATAATACGCATCGTGCGTCGTCACCAAACACCATAACCGTCTACCGTAACCGTCCAGAATAGTTCCCGGAAAATTAGATACGTTGCCGTGTACGCAAAATCGCCATGCTATCGTCCAAATGTACAATGTAGCAAATATGTATGTGTATGTATATATACAGTGAGTACAAAAAGTATTCGTATACAGAGAAAATATTTTTTAAAAAAACTTTATTTTAAAAAATTAAATATTATCTAGCGAGAAATGAGTCATCGAACTGATGTCGAATCGATATCGATACGATGATTTCAACACCAATTTGACGTCGATTCGACGTTTAATTGATGATCATTTCTTGTTGGGTAATAAATAATTTATTCACAAAGTATAAAATAGATTATATGTTTCTTAAAATTATATATGCCAAAAAGATGTGTATTAATTATAGAAAATATATCATCTGAAAAATAAGCGAAAATTAAAAGTTTCATTGTTTGAATGCTCAAAAAGTATTCGTATAATCGAGAAATTTAGCTTATAATATCAGAAATACATGCGAAGCTCATTTGTATATGTTAGAACAGAATATATTCATTGTATAAAATTGCTAATTA